CGGCCTCCCTCACAGCGTGTTTCCTCTGCTCACACTGCAGACAGAACCACAGCAAACCCAGCCACGGCGCAGCGGAGACCTGGTGTGCCGGCCCCCCTCCCCCCCAGGCCCCCAACCACAAGCTGGGGGCCATGGAACAAGGGAAGAGTCTTCCGCCTGGTGAGAGAGTGTGGCGGCCTGGGGTGGGGAGCATGGGGTGGGTGGGTGGGAATTCTGATAGTGGCCCGGATGCAGCCTGGGCCTCCAAGCGGGACTGGGACCGCGTGGGGGAGGGGGCTGCCCTCCCCTCCCCCCATGAGCATCTCTGATCCTTTCTCCTAGTCACCGCGGACCCCAAGGAGGAGGGGCTCGAAGCCCAGATCAGCCGCTTGGCAGAGCTGATAGGGCGGCTGGAGAACAAGGTAAGCCTGCGGAGCCACGCCCCTCTCCACTGCCCCCAGCAGGTGCAGGGTCGCCCGGAGTCCGGGCAGGAGCCTGGGAGCCTGGCCACCAGGACTAGGGGGAAGATGTCCCTCGTACCTGTCCAGGAGAGGTGCCCCGGGCAAGGGGCAGCCAGGAGGGGCGTCTCAAGGAACACAGAGTCAGCAGGGGCGTGTGCGGGGAGGGGACAGGGTTCCCTGCGCCTCTGCTCTCAGGCCGGCCTGGGGATGCCAGGAGGCAGCAGGGTGGTGGGTGAGGGCCGGGGCGTCCCGGCGGCGTCCCAGGAGAGCTTAGAGTCCTCTGGAATGAGGAGGCTCTCATAGGTCTCTCAAACACGAGTCCTGTCTTCAGAGGGTGTTTCACGACTCGGCGGGTCCCCGCGGGATGACCGCATTTGTCTCCCGGGGCTGCCGTGACCACGTAGCACAGGCGGGGCTCAAACCGGGGCCATTTCTTCCGTCACGTTAGAGCCCAGAAGTCCGAGCTCAGGCTGGGGGTAGGGCTGCCTTCTCCTGGGCATGAGGACAGTCACTTCCTCCCTGTGTCCTCACGCATCCTCCCTCAGTGCGAGGCTCTGTCCTCATCTCCAAGGACACCGTCAAGATCACGTTGGATTAGGGCCCACCCATGTGACCTCATCTTAATTAGCTCTTCAAAGGCCTTATTTCCAGGCAGAGTCACATTCCTAGGTGCTGGGGGGGGGGGTGGGGAGATGGGCCTGGAACTTACGATTTGGGAGAGAGGATACAGTTCAGCCCAAACAATGACCATGTGTGGGAAGAAAGAGAACAGGTTGCCTTAAGGTTTACCAAAGGGCTCAGGTATCAGATTGCGCATATTTAAGTCCTGGTTATACCACTTAGCAGCTTTGTGACCTTGGGCCAGTGACTTGCCCTCTCTGAGCCTCAGATTCCTGCTCTAACCGCAGAGAAAATGTTCAGACTAGCGCTCATCATGGGGTTGTTGTAAGGATTAAAGAAAATGTCTTTTTTTTTTTTAATATTTTATTTTTGAGAGAGAGAGAAGAGTGGGGGAGGGGCAGAGAGGGAGACATAGCACCTGAAGCAGCCTCCAGGCTCTGCACTGTCAGCACCGAGCGCAACCTGGGGCTCGAACCCCTGAACCGGGGGATCACGACCTGACCCGAAGTCGGACGTTTAACCGACTGAGCCACCCAGGCGCCCCAAGAAAATGAAGCCTTAATGGCTTAGCCCGGAGCCTGCTCCGTCGTGAGCATTACAATGTTAGCAGTTGTTAGGCGTTGTCACCCATATTCTGACGCCAAACCTGTGCACACGCACCGGACCAGCAGCCCTACATCAACGAAGCCGGCGGGCATCTCCGAACCGTACGGTTGAGCGAGTTTACATTTCTCCCGCTTTTCTGAATTTTTTGGACATCTTTTGCGCAAGGGCAAAAAAGCAGTTTGATGGGCTTGGGGTTTCTCAGGGCTTCATGGGGGCGGGGTGGGGGGCTCCCCCCACGCAGAGGGGGGCTGAGGCCAGACTTGGAGACGGGGGTGGGGGGGTGGGGTGGGAGGTGGGCTGAGGCCGAGGTGGGATCCCCCCTCCCGTGAAGCCAGCAGCTGAGTGGGAGCGGTGGGAAAGGCTCCGCGGGACCCCGAGGCCGGGTTGTCATAACAACTCCCAGCGCCTCCAGAGGGAGGTTCTTTGAAGCTTATTTTTAGCCTCCGGTCGTCTTAACAACCAGCTGGCTGGAGACCGCGGAGCACCTGGGTGTCCTGGAGACGGGGCGGGGCCCCGCTTGCTGGCCTCTGATTGGTCCGGGCCGCCCGCGGGGGCCAATCCGGGGCCGGTAGGGGGCTCCGCCCTCTTCGTGCCAACCTGGGCCTGGCGCTGCCTGGGTGGGGCCGATGGGGTGCCGGGCGCTCGCCCGAGTTGCAGAAGAATCACGGTTTTGTGGGTCCGGAGGGGAGAGAGCCCTGGCTTCAAACCCCGGCTCCAAAGCTTTGGAGCCCGGGGCCGTGCGCTGCGAAACTGCCGAGTACCCATCGGGTGCTGTGTTCTGGACTCCGGCGTGTGTCGGTGACAGCGCGCCCGGGGTTCCTGCTTTCCTGGGGCTGACGGTGGGGCCGCGCCCACCTCCGGGAGTCGGGAAAGTTAGACAAGATGTATTCGTGAAGCATGTAGCTCGACGCCTGCCGGAGGCCAGTGTTAGCACAACCACCCCATTCAGACCATTATCAGGTTCACAGGGCACCGGGGGTCTTGACGTGGGGTGATTGGCCGGCCGACGGGGGATCTCAGGGCTGCTGGCAGCGGCATCCTGGGTTCAGAACTGTCCTGTACCAAGACTACCCCGCCCCTGGCCGAATGCCCTCTGCCCAGGTCTGGTTGGCTTCTGCGCTTCTCAGATGCCAAGGCCGGAAGGGATCTGTGCCACTTCCTCTGGTGCGTCTCCCAGCCGGGCCTCCCAGCCTCCTTCAGAGCCAGCCCTGTGTCTGGAGGGTAGGCCTGGCCCCGGGGAACTCCAGAGCCCCTGGAACCTTGGGGTGGAGAGGCTGGAGCTCTCTGCTGGCTCTGGACTCTCCGGTTTCCTTGTGGTAGTGCTGGAGGCCTCCCTGGGGGAGGGGGCCTCGGTCTCCGACACGTCTTTGTGCTTTGTTGTTTCAGACCCTTTGGTTTGACCTTCAGCAGCGCCTCTCAGATGAAGAAGGCACCAACATGGTGAGGCCTGCTCCCTTCCTGTCCCTCTCCTGTGGCCCCATCCCTGCCGGAGCCAGGACTGAGTTCCAGGTCCTTGACACCCCCTGGTGTCACCCCCTGGGACCACCACCAGGGGAGATGCGGCCCTAGGCCCTGGCCGCCTCTCCAGTGAGGGGTGTTCTCTGATCAACAACAGTTTGGCCCCGGGGCGAAGGGATCAGGACAGTGACCCCACACACTCACCCGACCAGAAGCGAATCTTGCTGCGCCCTGATTTTGTGGTGTCTCGGACCAGAGTGCCGTGCGGGCAGCTCCCGGCGGCCGCAGAGCCCCTCTGTGCACACCCTCGTGTGGTGTCCTGCTTGGGCGTGGCTGTCTGCTTTTAGCCACTCGGTCCTCGTTCTTTTTTGCCACTTTTGGCGTAAGAATGAGCCCTCGCATGGGCGAGGAGGGGTTTTGGGTTCAGTTTTGGCCGAATTGCCCTGTCTTCTCTGAAGGAAGGTCTGGGGAGGCCGGGTCTCGGGCAGGGAGAGCGGGGGTGGCCGGGCGCTCACTCCCCTGTGTCCCCATAGCACCTGCAGCTGGTCCGGCAGGAGATGGCCGTGTGCCCCGAGCAGCTGAGTGAGTTCGTGGACTCCCTGCGCCAGTACCTGCGGGGGACCGCGGGGGCCAGGACCTGCTTCCAGTGAGTGACCTGCTTGATCCAGGTGGGGGCCGTATGTGCATGAGGCCGGGCGAGGAGAGGCCGAAGAACCGGGGGGGGGAGGGTGGTCTGCGGGGGGCATCGGCTGGAGCCGAGACCTGGGGACATAGCAAGCGCCTCGAGCGGCCCGGTTGTGACGGCAGGAAAGGACTGGGGGCTGGTAGGGACCGTGTCGGAGATGCTCGAGCCGAAGGCAGAGCCGGTCAGGTCTCCTTTGTGTGAAGGAGGGGTGAGTGGGGAAGGGTGTGGCCAGGAGAGGCCCCGCGGTCCGGGCGGGTCTTTGAGTGACCTGGGCTCTGGAGCTGGGCTGACGGGACCAGCTAGTGGCTGGGATGGGGGACGCGTGGGGAGAGGCCCGTAAGGCGGAACCGACAGGATGGTGTTGAGGGCCAAGTGGGAAGGTCAGGAGGCGGCCAGCAGTGTTAGTGGGGGCGTCGTACAGGTCGTTCCAGGCCACGCTAGGACGGCAGGCGAAGTGCGGTCGTGCAGGTGGGTGATCGCGAGCTCATGGTGGGGGGAGAACGTGGGAGGAGGGGGGAGCAGGACGCCGAGGGGCTTCTTGCCTGTGGGATGACTGTCTTCCCTGCACCCCGTGCCTGCCCGCCCACGGGTGCGCCCCAACGCATGCCGTGTACTGTCGGCCAGGCAAATGCGGTCCCCGGGGTCGCTTGCATCCCCCAGTAACCAAATGCAGATAGTCCCCATTGCCCCCGTGACCTTTGTCAAGCGGTACAAAGGGCCCTGGGTTCTGACTGGCAGGTGACGTGCATCGGGGGGGGGGGGGAGCCCCGGCTCCAGGTGTGGTCGGAGGGTGGAGCTAGTGAACTAATGATGCCATTAGCAGTCCTGCTTCCCGGCTCCTGTCTGGTGAAACATGGAATTATCTGGCATTACACGGCGATCGGCACCCGCGAGAGAGAGCTCTCCTCCTGGAGGCTCGGGCTGTGTTCTGAGTGGGGGGCAGGCTAGGGCAGGGTTAGAGAGGAAGGAACCCAACCCCCCAGGCCAGCTGCCTTCTCACTGGGGGAGTCCCTTCCCATCTCTCCCAGGCCTGGGAGGGTCCTGGCGGCACACAGGTCATGGTCACACAGGAAGGGACGGGTGCCTGGCCTCCCGGACCACTGGGCCAGGGCCTGGCCTTCTCCGCCCCGTTGCTGGGTCAATTTCAAGTCACAGAGTTTTAAGGATTAAATGAAACAATTACAGAGAAGGCAGGAGGAGGAAGAGGTTTTTATTTTGAAAGGTGGGGTTTTTAAATGGCAGTAAGGCCTTTTCAAGTGTCGTTTCGTTGCGATTCGTTCAGTGAGTATTTCCTGGCCCCCTTCCGGGACCAGGCCTGGCATCAGGTGGCGGGGATCCTCACTGAACACACCAGAGGGCCAGTGCTGGGGGCCCCTCCCACCTCTGCCAGGCTTTTGGGGGGCAGCCCTCCAGCTGGAGCCTCTCTCTCCCCAGCATCGCGGCAGTGAGGCTGGCCGATGGCCTCACCTTCGTGGTCTATGAGTTCTGGGAGACAGAGGAGGAGTGGAGGAGGTGAGTGGTCTGCCCCAGCCTCCTTGGGGGGGGAGGGAGGGCAGGGCACCAAGGGTCCCTGGCTCCTCGGGCCTCCAGCTGCAGAGTGCTGGCCTCACGGGGCCCACAGGGGCCCTGAACGCTTCTGTCTCTACCTGGAGGGACCCCCTTTCCCCCAGCTGGGCTCTGAACCCGGGTTCCTGGCCCACCCTGGTGGCCAAGGCTGCTCGCGTTTGCTACCTGCTGCCCCCGTGGCTAAAACTCCAGAAAGGACCTGGCTGTTCTCCCCACCAACCGACCACTGACTGTTCCGAGGCCAGAGCCGTCAGCCTCCCCTCCCCCCAGGGCTGAAAGCACCGAGCCGGGCTGCCTGGGCAGGGGAAGCCCCCCCGTCTCTGGCAGGGCCCCCTCGCAAGCTCCCGGGCTGGAGGCTCAAACCCCCCATCCCCCGACTCACAGGCACCTGCAGAGCCCCGTGTGCAAGGCCTTCCGGCACGTCAAGGTGGACACGCTGAGTCAGCCTGAGGCCTTCTCCCGGATCTTGGTGCCAGGTACAGGGAAGCTGGGTGTGCAGGGGGTCCTAGAGAGAAGGGAGACCCAGGGCAGGAGGGTTAGGCCAGCCCTTGAACACGAAGGGCAGGGCTACGAGCTCCATGAGTGGGAGAGTAGGCTGCAGGGAGAGGGCAGAGTGTCAGGGTGGCTCTAGGTGCCCCCCCCATACCCCTAACTCCCTCCCCCCAGACATTACTTCCCCCCCTTGGAATTGGCTCCTAGGGCCCCCAGCGAGCGCCTCCCCACAAGCTGGACATGTGCTTCCCACCCTGGCCGTGGTCCCCTTGGGGAAGGAGGCCACCTGCTCTGCCTCACGTGTCTTCCCCCCGCCCTTCCCAGCTGCCTGGTGCACCTTGGGCCGTGACTGACCACCTCCCGGAGGCCTTCGGATGAACCTGCCCCCCGTTTTCTAGAAACTTTGGTACACATACCGTCTTTTCACTGTACTTCCAGACAAGAATGTAGTTCCCTGCTGTGTGAAGTGAAGGAAAACCCCCTGCCATGCCCCCAGACCCCCCCCCACCCCCATCGACAGAGCAGCCGCAGAGCTGCCGGACCCCTGCTGGAGCCAGAGGGCAGCAGAGAGAGGGAGGCCTCCTGGAACCCCCACCCCAGTGGCCGCGCATGACCCTCCCCTCCGCTGGCCACTGCCTTAGCGTCCTGGTAGGAGCCGAGACCTTGTAGTGCCCAACCTAGGCCTGTGCCCAGGCCGCACAGGACAGTAGAGCCCACGTAGCCCGTGCCGTGCTCGGCCGTCAGGCCCAATAAACTCTGGTCGGGAACGGCCGCGTGCTGTGTTTTCCTTCCGCGTGCTCTAGTGACGGCAGCTAGAGGAGTGAAGCTGTCACGGGGTCTGGGGCCCCTTTTTAGCCATGAAATCTTGACCACGTCACACCCCGTCTCCTTATCTGTAAGACGGTACGCGTTTTGACAAGTCGGTGCCTGTTACAAAGTTCCCGGAGGCCCCAAGGATCACCCTCTGGCTCGGTAATGCATGAGGACGCCCAGAACCCAGCAACAAAAGGGTACAGACTAAAATCAGCCAAGGAAAGACGTGCCGGGGTCCACGAGCGGCCAGGCACAGAGCTTACAGCTGTCCCCTCCTGTCCCAGCGACGACGTGCATAGAGTATTACCAGGCAAGGAGCCGACCCGAACCTCAGGGATCAGTTTCCACTGGAGGCCAGTCCTCGGCCCCTCCGGAGGTCAAGCCGATACCTCTGGGCTGAGGCCCCCGCTCAACCAAGACATTTGGGGTCGGGACGTTCCAAGGTCCTAGAGGTCACGTCCCAGGAGCCAAGGGCAAAGGCCAGACGGCTCCGCGCACAGTCTTGGCACAGCCGTCAACGAGCTATTCAGCCACACGGGAGACCGAGACCCTAGACTTACCCTCAAGTCCCGTCTTGGTGAGCAGCAAAGGTGTCCTACACAAAAGGCGCAAAGGACGAGGAAAGCGAGGACCACGGATCCCCCTCCCAAGGCGGGAGGGAGGGCAGAGACAGAGGGAGGCCGGAAACCAGGGCAGGTGGGAACCCCGGGGCCAAGGATGTGCCTGGAACAGGCAGCCTGTGACAGGGGGAGGGATCAAAGCGGTCACTGCTGGGAAGGTCCTCTGCCCAGGCCATCCCGCCGGCTCGGGCTCCCGCCTGCCGCCTCCCGGCCGGGCTCGTAGGCGGCAGAAGCGGCAGACTTGAGTCCTAGCGGCGCAGGTCCGAGCTGCAGGTGCTCGCAGCCGGCCTCTCAGAGCCCCTCGTTTCTCATCTGGAAAGTCGGGGGGGAAGACCCTTCTTTGAAGACTGCCCGGCCCCCAAGAATGGTGCGTCACTGGGTCCCGCCGGCAGCTTCGGGAAGCGCCCCCGAAGCGGGGGCTGCTCTGAGGAGCTCAGCTGTTTTAAAAATATTCTCAGAGGGGCGCCGGGGGGGGGCTCAGGCAGTTAAGCGTCCGACTTCGGCTCAGGTCATGATCTCACAGTTTGGGGGATGGAGCCCCGCATCGGGCTCCGTGCCGTCCGTTTGGAGCCTGGAGCCTGCTTCCAATTCTGTGGCTCCCTCTCTTTGCCCCTCCCCCACTAGTGCTCACCCTGTCGAAAACATTTAAAAAAATATTCTCAGAGGGCTGAGGCTCTCTGGGGTGCAGCCGAGGATCCCCGGGAGCTGGGCGGGTTACACTGTGCTACCCATGACGCCCGCTGGCCCTAGCTCTTGGCTCATCTCTGCTGACAGCAGCCCACGAGCTCTCGGAGCCTCCCTGGATGCTGAGGGGGTGGGAGCAGGCTCCGAGGAGAACAGATTTCCACCCTAAAAGGCATCAGAGCTCCCACGACTTACACGTCACCTCCAGGCACGCAGGCTGCCTGTGCCACCCTGGGAGCCGCAGGTTCCCGGGGGGGGGGGGGGGGCACACAGAGAGGCCAAGTAACTCACCAGAGGTCACACAGCAAGCAAATGCCGCCACCTGGATCCAGACCCAGCGCTGCCGGCCCCCATCCCGTGCCCGAACTCCGGTGCCACACGGCCCAGACAGCTGGGGAGGAACGGCTCCGGGTCGGCACCGGAAGACCTCAGGTTCCTCGCGTAACGACCGTTACCGTAGGGCCCGGCCGTTCCGTTCCCAGGCACACGCTGTGCCCCAAAACACAGCAGAGATGCACTTAAGCAAATACTTGTGCCCGAATGTTCACAGTGGCTTATTCACAGCGGCCCAGAAGGCGGAAACGACACCCTTTGACAACGGATCAAACAAAACGAGGTCCGGCCGCACAACGGAGTATTATCCAGGCACAAAACAAGACGGAAACACCGACCCGTGCCAAACACGACTGGCCCTTGCAAACGGGACGCCGCGTGAAGGAAGCAAGTCACAAAGTGACACAGCGCGAGATCCCACTCCCATGACAAGATGCCTGCGACGGTTAAGTCAGTAGAGATGGAAAGCAGATGAGCGGCTCTCAGGGGCTGGGGGAGAGGGAGGAGGGAGTGACTGCTGAGGGGGGTGGGCTTTCGTTTTGGGGAGACGAGAGTCATTTGGAACGAACGGTGGTTACACAACACCGATCGACCCTGAATCGCACCCGTGAAGATGGTTAATTTTGTGTTCTATAAATTTCACCTCAATTAACCGCCCCCCCCCAAAAAAAACCCCAATCAACTCACCTGCCCAAATGGAGACCTTCACCACCTGCGTTCGATGGCCGACGACATTCTTGCTGTGCCCAGTTCAAATCCCGAACCTCCCGCCGGAGGCGTGCGGGGGCGGTCCTGTGGGGAAGGCGGGGCAGGTCCTCAGGGGACCGGCAGCACCCGGGGCTGGTGTCCCTGCCCGACTGCCTGGGGGCACCTGACCCAGCGGCAAGGTGCTCCCCCCGCGCCCCTCAGGGCAGAGAGCCAATCACTGTACCCCCGAAACAGCACTCGGTCTCGGCCGCAGCTAGTATCGGACAAGAGGGTCTCCACGCTCACACGTAGGTGTCACCGCGGCCCGGGACCGGTGACAGGCCAGGCTCGGTGCCGCCAGCTCTTCAAGTCCATTGCCACTCACCCTCACGGCCATCCCGGGGCAGGAGGAGGGGCTGTCCTTGGCTTTGTTTTGGAGGAGAGCCAGAGGATGGAAACTGAGGCCCAGGAGGCGGAAGGAAGGATTGGGTGCTGACCCACCGGAGGGAGGACGCCGCGGCTGAACAAGGCACCAAGGCGGTTTTCCTGGGTTAGCAACCTGAGCACAAGGGCCGGCCAAGGTCGCACAGCTGGTAGATGGCAAGCTGCAGACCCGGAGCACATGCCCAAAGCCCTCCGTGACACCACGGTCCCCTGGGTCCAGGACACCCCTTCAGCCCTTCCTTCCCGAACCTGAGGGAGTCCCTTAGTGTCAGAGGACAGCCCCAGGCCAGCTCGTACCTCCATCGGGGGGGACATCAGAGGGTGATGGCCCAGCGGGCATTTCTCTGATGGCACCGTGTCCTTGCATGATGATGGTTGAGGTGACAGTCCTATGAGGATCACATCTGTACCAGACACAGGTTGAGATGAAAATTATCGTCCCCAGTGGTGTTTTGCATCACCCCTTGAAGAGCCCCAGTCTCTTCTCTCTCGGCACTGTCAGTCCACTTCCTCCCTGTTACCCTTTCCTGCTTTGTGATGAGCCCGAGGATCCTATTTCTTTTCCCTTGGCTGCTAGGAAGCTCACTGTTCGCCTAGTCTCAACCTAGGTTTTCTGGAAATAAAACTACCGTTGCCCAGGTCTCCCCACATGGCTGCTGTAGATACATTATTGCCTTCTCTTTTCACAGAGCCCACTTGGCATCATGCCAGATGCCCACATGCGATTCATAAACTCCCCCAATTTTGACATCGCAAATGGCAGAGCCAGCACTCAAAGCCAGTAGTCTGAGTCCAAAGCCAGTTCACGCGATGCCCCCCTTTTATGGTCCTACCCTCACCCGACCACACTTCGTTCTTCTCAAAGACTCCATGAATGGCCCCGCCACGGCCCCAGCCTTCCCGGCCACCGCCGCAGCACTTTGGGGAAGCATCTAGGGGACCACTGATCGATGACTCCATTCTCACCGCTGGCTGTGGGGCACTTCTGCCGCAGCACCTTGTCCTGGTTCCGTGGCCACCGGACCCACGGTGTGTGGCAGGGTGTGTAGCTCGTCGGAAGGCCCGTGTAGGAGACGCTGGTGCCCCAATTACTGGGTCAGAGTCTACACATGCAACCAGGGCGGAGGAGGCAGCAGCTGCATCCTCGTCCTAGGGCTGGGTGGATGGGGTCACACCCCCTTGGCCACTCAGGAGTGTGCACTAGAAAGAAAGTGGACGGTGGAACGTGACCCCCCCCCCACCCCCTGGTTGGTCCCGACCCCAGCTCTGTAGCTCACAGGACAAGCAACCTGGACTTTTCCATGTCTCAGCTGCCTCCCCCTGTAAAATGGATGAATTTGAAAACATTACGCGACCTCAAAGGAGCTAGACACGGAGGCCGCTATCGAACGAGTCCATTGGTACAGAACGTCCGGAAGGAACAGATCTGCAGAGACAGCAGATTCGCGGTTCCCGGGGCTGGGGAGTGACTGCTAATGAGTGCGGGTTTCCCTGGGGTGACAAAAACGTCCAGCTGGTGATGGCTGGACAACGTTGTGCCTCGGCTAACACCCACTGAATCGTATACTTTTCAAGGGTGAACTTGACAGCAGGTAAGTTAGAGCTGAAAGCAAATCATGCAGGTGGACAGGCTGGAAAAAAACACAAAAAGGGTCCTGGCACCACTGGCCAGGGACACGTCACACGACACAGCAGAGCCCGGCCCACTGCCTACCCTGAGGGAGAGGTCCTCAAACGTTGGCCCCTCCTGGATCTGGCCACAGCCAACCGCCGGCTTCCGGGAGACGTCCCAAGGCAGAGGGAGAGTGGCCCGAACGCAGCGACCTCCAGGACACCCCAGGTCCAGTAGAGGGTCAGTGCTGGCAAGCACAGCGACCCAGGAGCACCTGGGCCACAAGCTGCCTCTCCCTCCACCCCCGTTCCCCCGACCCTGACCCTGGGGCAGACCTCTGGGCCCCTTGCCCTCAGCCGCAGGTGTGACACCCAGAATTGGGGGGGGGGGGGGGGGAGGGAACCGCACACAGCTCACTGGGTTTCCAGGCTCTTCGGGTCCAGCCAGAGGGAAAGGGACAATCCCTAGGACCCTCCCATCGGAGTGTGGGCCAAAGCAGGGCTCCCTGGGCCTCAGCCCCTACTTCTGTTATGAAGTGTGTCTCTTAGAAATATTAGGTTGAAGTCCCCACTCCTAGAGCCTGTGACTGTGACCTTGTTTGGAAACAGGATCTTTGCAGACCCTAAGGAAGTAAATTCAGATGAGGTCATCCTGGACGAAGGTGGCTCTAATCCAATGACTGGGGTCTCATACGAGGAGGGAAATCTCGGGGCTCCTGGGTGGCTCTGTCGGTTAAGCGTCCGACTTCTGCCCAGGTCACGATCTCGCGGTTCGTGAGTTCGAGCCCCGCGTCCAGCTCTCCCCTGTTAGCACAGGGATCCTCTAGCCGCCTCCCCTCTACCCCTCCCCCACTGGATCTCACGGTCTCTAACTTTAAAAAAAAGACTTGGAAGGACACACAGGGCAGATGACCACGCGGGAAGGGAAGGCCAAGAACCGCCACGGATGGCCAGCCACACCGCAGGCTGGAAGGGGCAGGGGATCCTCCCCGATAGGCAGCGCGGTCCTGCCCACACCTGCATCTCAGGCTCCCGCCCCCAGACGGTGAGGGGACCCTTCTGCCCTTCGAAGCCCCCAGGCTGTGGTCCTTGTCAGGGCGGCCCGAGGACCCGAATCCGCCCTCCTCGGCACTGCGCCCGAAACCCTCTGAACCAGCAGAAGCCCAAATGAGCAGCCTCAGGAGGCAGAAGGTATCCATTTCTCCAGCATCTTTATGAGGCAAGGACACGGGTCGCACAGCTGGACGCAGGCAGCTGCACCAGGGCAGCCATGGGGCCGGGCCGACCCCCTCCTGCTCAGAGGAGTTCCAAGGCGGCTGCCACCGTGCTCTGCCCGAAGATGAAGGTGCCCACGAGCACGGAGACCACTCCCCACGCCTCCAAACAGCACCTGCCAGGCCAAGAAATACACATCGAGCACGCTCTCCTCCGGAGCTCTGCACAGACAAGCCAAGTGCACGCCGAAGGCTGATCACACGACACCAGGAGAGCCACCAAGTTGGAAGAAAAACCCATGGTATTCCCCCCCACCTGTCGGGATGGGTTTCCAAGACAAGGGGAGAGAAGGGCCCCCTGCGATTAAAATCACTCACTGCCTCTGTTAATCCCGTTCCTCCCCTGGGGGAGGGAGACACCTTTCCAGTCCCTTCCCTTTGGGGGCAACGGGAGGAGGGGCATGAAGCCCCCCTAAAAACGATGAAGGAGAAGAAAGCCCGAAGTCACCCACGATGGGGACAGCGGCTGGCCACGGGGACAGAGGCGGTCGCCCTGACAGCCACTGAGGCCACATCTGCGAGCTTCCCGACGCACCAACAGAGACCGTGCAGACAAGGAAATGAAATTCCTACAGACGGCAGGGCAGCCGGACACATTTATGGCCCCATTAACAAAGGCCACAGGACCCGATGTTACGTTACGGAAAGATGGTCTCCAGCGAGACAGAATCGTGAACGCCCCCAATACGGAGGTGGGGAGAGCGTGGGGAATGTTCTCGGGCCTGCAGGCTCCTAGAGCGGTTCTGAGGGATCAGAGGCCCTACGGCAGCTCTAGAGTTAAAAATACCTTCAAAGCCCAACAGTAAAAACTGCTGTGAGCCTGGATCAAGGCACAAAACAGAAGCGGCAGGGCCTTCAAAGACCACTGCCGGGAAACAGCTGCAGGTAGGAGGCTCCAGACCATCGCGGCCGCCCCAAGCCCGAGTCAGGTTCAGAGACATCCAGAAAAGCTCTTCCCCCAGAAGGGAAGGAAACCTTGCCCATGGCTGTGGGAAAACCAGGCCGGGGCTCGATGAGGCGGGAGGGAAGGAGAGAGAGACACTGGCCTCCGGGGAGGGGGGACCCAAGCCCCCGGCTGCTGGAACACAGGAACATCTGTCCTGGGCTGAATGGCAGTCCCCAGGATTCATGTCTACCCCAAACCTGTGACCGTGACCTTATTTAGGAACAGGGTCTTTGCAGATGTAATGAAGTGAGAAATCCGGAGAGGAGATCATGCTGCGTTTGGGGGGGGTGTGCCCTCAGGGCAGTGACAGGTGTCCTTATAGAAAGGCGGCACATGGGGACTTGAGGCAGAGAGCCCCAGAGGGGCAGAGATGGGGGTGAGGCAGCCACCAGCCAGGGACACCTGGAGCCACCAGAAGCAGGAAATGGCAAGAACAGAAGCGGCTCTCAGAGGCTTCAAAGGGAGCCTGGCCCTGCCGACACCTTGACTGTGGACGTGCGGCCTCGGCTGAGAGAAAACGCACTTCTGCTGTGCTAAACGCCCCGGCAAATGTAGGACGGTGTCCCTTTACCTGCCTCGGCCTCAGTTCTCACATCTGTGGAAGGGAAGGAAGAGCCACACAGGCCCCTGCTGAGGTGTGGCAAACCCGTGCATGCACTCTCTTTCTCGGCGGGGAGGGGGGGGGGGTCAGCTGGGCCCCTCGAGGGCAAAGGACAGGGCCCCAGTCATAGCCCAGGCCACCCTGGAGATGAGGGCCCTCTTCTGGGAAAGAGCGGGAGCCCCAAAGCCTCTGTCTAACCCACATCGTGGAGCAGGGAGGAGGCAGGCGTGAGGCCCGGACCCAGTCAGCCCGGGTTGAGTCCCAGCGCCGCCCTGACTTGTCACGTGCCCGCGGAGAAGCGTCTACCCCTTCGTCTGTAGGATGGGTATCCTGGTATCGTAAGGAGAGGACTGAGGGCCAGGCACTGAGCAAGGGTCCAGCCAAGACCCGCTACCTTGCAGACACAACGTGTTACCCTTCCGGCCACACGGCCTCCGCAACGCAGGGTTCCGCACAACAGGACCCGCCTGTGCCGCAGCTCACGGCAGAGACGATCACCCTCTGAGGGCAAGGGAGGGCTGAGCACCGGTAGCGTGTGGGCGGGCCCCAGTGTGGCTGGCAGGGTGTTCAATTCCTGGCTCGGACACCGTGTCACCGTGGACAAGCCAAGCCCCGTGGCCTGTTGTTTGTCTCACCGGCAGGACGTGACATCCGTGGGCCCTGCCACATTCCCATTCTGCTCCCTCTGAGTCCCTCAAGCGCCCACGCTGCCACCCTGGTCTGGGGACACTTACCTGACGCGTGCAGCTACAGGCTGGACGTTAACGGCACAGATGAGGCACAGACCTGCAAAGGACACACGGGGCCACTCCAGCTCTCCACTGTTGAACCCAGAGCGGCCCGGAGCTCGAGAGCCCATCCCCACGGACCCAGCTCACCATCCCCCTAACACCTCGGCCCGCCTGAGCCTCTCCGACGACAAGCCCTGAGCGCCGCCTCCTCTGGGAGGCCCCCCGGGCTCCCCAGGCTGCAAAAAGCCTCAGGCCTCCTTGACTGGAGCTCCAGCCACCCACACGGGGAAGGTTTTGTACGAAACCATCCATCTCAGAGACCGTGTTTGCCTCCCAGGGGACCAAGACAAGAAGACGACATTCACAGGGCACCTTTGAACCGCATAAATTTCACGTGACCAGAAAGGTCAAAAAAAGAAAAAAAGAAATCCCACAGTGCACGGTGGCACCGGAGACTGGACAAGGTCAAGGCTGACCCGGCACTCCCTGCGCCCCGCCCCGGGAGGCTGCTGGGCCTCTATCTGACCACCTGCAGGATGGGGTGATGACAGCACTCCCAGCGGGTATGCCCATCGAGGGTCACGGAGACGTTTAACTCAAGGCACATATAGTCCACGGCCCGTGTCCCGTCAGTAAAGCCTCTGCGGGGCTCCCACCCTCCAGACCCTTGAGTCCCCCGCGGGGAGACCGGGCAGAGCCGAGCCGAGCAAGGGCCTCACCCGGGAAAATGAAGATAAAGAAGGAGCTGATCCCGCCGATGATGCCGATGATCTCGCTGAGGTCGGGCAGGAGCAGGGCCATGGCCAGCGTCACGGCGACCCACAGGACGGTCAGTGGCACCCGGACCCATGGCCCCGAGGGCTCCGCCAGGGCCCCGGGCCCACACGCCAGGCACCAGCTCCTCCTCCAGAAATCCTGCATCACCGACCTGAAGGCCACACACCACGGGCGGCTCCAGCGGCTCTGGCCCGTCACCGGGCGCCGCTCCCCGAGGACCGCGTCGACCCTCCCGCGGCTCAGTCTGGAGCAGGCACCGACATACAAGGGCCCTGCGGGCCGGACCTCACCTCCCCAGGAAGAGCGCAATGGGGTAGACGGTCACGATGGACACTCCGAAGAGGGCCCGGGCCACGATGATGACCACGTCGTCGCCCGGGTAAGACATCAAGATGTCCTCAGAAACTTCTGCCCCGAAGGTCAGGAAGCCGTAAACCCCTGGGAGGCCGAGAGGGCGGAAGGCCGGGGGAGGGGGGCGGATTAGAAGGGCGCCCTGCCGCCGGGAGACGTGGACGGAGGGCACAGCACGGGGAACGCCGTGGACAGCGGGCACTGCGTAACACGGCAGCAGCGTCCCCGTGCTGTCCTCCCAAAGCTAACAGCGTCGTGGGTCAGCAAGCTTCCTGGGTGACCATGGTGGGCCCCAGTGGCTGGCACACTGCAGCGGCCCAAGGGCTCCCCGGGTCAGGGGCTCCAAAGCCCTGGGCAGGAGGAAAGCAGCCAGCCAGAAGTCGGCCTGGGCCTGAGACCTGGGCTGTGGCACGGGCACGCTGTGTGACCCCTGAGCAGGTCCCAGCCGTCTCTGAGCCCCACTTCCACACCCCTCGGAGACTGTTCTGCCTGGAACTCAGGTCTGTGGGCACCCACGTCCGTCAAAGCCACAAGGGCGTTTTATAAATCGCTACCCAGAGATCATGCCACGCGCCGGTCACTACCATCCCATCGGACATCTGTGTGACAGGGCGTGGAGCGTACGAGCAGGGTCTCAGTTCTGCACGTCTAGCCGGGGGGCCCTGCCGGACAAGCCACAGGAGCCGTCTGAGCCTCAGCTACTCCTTCGGTGAAATGGGGACTTCCCGTGGGGGTCAGGAGTAAACGGGCAAGGGCCGTGACACCTCCCGGACCCGGCACGGCGCGGCCAGGCACGCGGTGAGCACTCCTCGGGCACACGTGATTCGGGGTCTCCCGCGCCCCCTGCCCAGCTCCGCGGTGTGCTGGTGCTGCCTTACCTGTCAGCGAGTAGACGAGGCAGCAGGCCAGCAGGGACAGCACGGAGACCAGGGCCCAATGGGAGAGGTTCCGATGGGTCATGCTGCAGTAAATGGACACCCCGGCTTCGTGACACTGCGAGGCAGGGGCGGGGCTCAGGGGGCGCCCGAGGCACCGGGAGCCACCTCGAACGTCTCAGGGCCCCAAAGCACAGGAAGCCACCCACGGGTCCGCCGACAGTAGGAAGTCTAGCAGGGAAATCGGCAGACGGTCACCCGGGAAATATGACACAGCCCTGAAGGACGAACACAACCTCACACAGGACGGCCTCGCGGCCGGAACACTGAGCAAGACGAGAAAACGTGTTTCTGGGGACGTGAAGTTCCAGTTACAAGTTAACCACCCTGGGGCAAGGGTTCTGGACTGCAGCGTCCTTGACATCGGTGGGGGGGGGGGGGCGCCCTCTGTCCTGTGTGCTGCAGGATGCTGGGCAGAATCCCTGGTGGGGACCCACTGGACGCCAGGAACACCTCCGCCCTCACTGTGACAACCAAAAACATCTCTGGACGTTGCCCAGTGGCCCCCTAGAACTGCTCCTAGTCGAGAACCACCGCTCCCGGTGACAGAAGGGGGCTGCTGTGGAGCAGGACAGGTCACAAGGGAGCTTGTGGGGGTACCAGGAACATTCTAGATCCTGACTGGGCTGAGGGTTGCACGGGGATAGACACAGCCATGATTTATGTGTTTCACGTATACTTAATAATGTCATGAAGAGTTTGAAATATAAAACACCTATGGCCAACGTCAAGGACTTTATTTACTTGGGGCAGGACCTGGGCAGCGGCATTTCACCAGCAGCCCAGGAGACCCTGACTGCCACGCAGCCAGAGTTGAGAGGCAAGACTTTATCTTGATGCCCCCTATGGCTTCCAGACTGTTCTATGGTTCCTTCCACCCATCAGCCTCTTTACTCCCTTCCGATCAAAACCAAACACACAGATCACCTCCTCCTGCCCACTCTCCAGGCTGCTAGCCACGCCTTCCTCACCCACTGAGCTCACTTCACCTCTGTTCCTCCTTGCTGCCTCAGGACATTTGCTTGTGCTGGGTCCTCGACCTGGGATTCTCTCTTGGTACGGCCAGCACCTACCCTTACTTTCAGAAAGCTCTCCCCAGCAGGACTGAGCTCTTCCCTGTGTCCCTCCCCTCTCCTCCCCTCCCAAGCACTTCTGGGTTTACTTGTTCAGGACCTGTTAGCTACATGAGGGCGAGGACCACATTGGCTTCGCTTATGCCTCTGAGCTCAGGCCACACACAGAGCCCGGCCCACAGCTAAAGAACGTTCCAGGGGGACTCAATTACACACCCATTAACCCACCCAGCAAGCAGGAAGCCTCCCCCACCCCCGGCTCCCCAGCAATCAAATGCTTAATAGTCCCACTTGGTGCCAGTGTGAGATGCCAGGTAGTCAAACAAACATAGCTCCCCCACCTCGTGGAGCATGATAGGGAGGGGCACGCCCTCGGGAGGGGTTGGGGGCACAGTCACTCCCCAACTCCCCTGCAGGGGCCGCGTCCGGGGGAGACTGAGCGCACACACCCTTCCCCCCGACACTCCTGCCCCAGGCTGCCTTGACCTTGCAGGAGCCTGCTGGCTGCAGGCTGGCTCAGCCAGGCCCTGGGGGCTTTATCCTCAAGGGGAGCCTCAGCCAGGGGAAGCCAGGGGAAGCCAGGGGACCCAGGTTCCCGCCTCCTGTACCTACCCCTATGGCATTTCTCAGGTACATCCGCATGGCTCCCAGAACGGCCCAGACCCCATGACAGGGGGTCTCCCTGTCTCCCCATCCCTGCTCCCGAGTACACACCAACCCCCAAGGCCCACAGACTCTGTGGGGTCGCCAAGGACGCCACGCGGTGGGGGTCTCCAGGGCACAGCCAAGCGCAGGGGTGGGGACGAGACACTCGGCTGTGGCAGGATATCGTTCAGCCCTCCCCCCAGGTTGTCCCAAGACCCCTGGGCCGTTTCTCCTGCTTTTACACCAGCTTTTACACGGCTCCCAAGGATAGGGCCGCCCGGCTGGGACAGGGGACAGGGGACAGGGGACAGGGGACAGGACAAGGGCGGGGATGGCACTGGCTCTCTGCTCCCAGGGCAGGAGAAACGGCAGGTGGAGGAGCACACTGGCCGGGGAGCGCAAACAGGCCACACGTGGACCGGCTGAGGAGCGGTCTGCAGGCTGCACCCGATCTGGCTGACAACCACCCGCAGCCACAGAAAGGGGAGCAGCCAGAGGCACAGGGCCCGACAGGGGCGAACGTGGAGAGCAGCATGCTGGGAGACAGAAGCTGGGCCCAAGGGACCCCCTTAGAATGAAACGCCCGAAGCAGATCTGCAGAGAGACACGTGGGTGCCAGGGCGTGGGGGCCGGCCGGCCACAGGTACAGGGCTCCTTTCGGGGCGTCGCCAGCGTTCTGAGTCGCCTGCGGCCCACGAGTGAACTGTTTGCCACGGGACTCAGACCTCAATACGGCTGTTTAAAAACAGCAGCCGCGGAGAAGTCCCGGGGTGGGGAGCTGGCTGGGAGCTGAGGCCGCACCCCACGTCTGCCCCTCCACGGCCCTCGCGCTGCGCTGCAGGCTGGATGGGGCGCCCCGCTGCTCGCTCGAGGGGGCGGGGAGCGGTCCGGCCAGGTCAGAGCTCCTGCGGCCAACAGGAGACTTGCCCTTCCCGCGCCACCCCTCCAGCAGGCTGCCCCTCCTCCTCCTCTCTCCCTCTTCACCCTCAACTGCCCTCCGCCCCCACCCCCCCACCCCCAGATCCTGGTCTCCTCGGGCCTGAGCCCCACCCCCACCCTGCGATTCGCGTCTGTCTTCTCCCAGCTCTTCATCGCTGCCTCCCGTGTCCCTGGAAACCGCAGCCCAGGCCCCGGTTGCTAGGAGAACCGGCTGACGGAGCCGAGGCAAAGGTGAGGGGGGCTGCCCTCGGAAGCATCTGGAAAGCGGCCCCCGTGGCGCAAGCCTGCCGCACCATATGGTGCCCGGGCGCGGGAGAGAGGGATGAAGGCAGCGTCCAAACCGCTGACAACAAAATCGTCGCTTTAGCTCTTTGAAAATATGGGGCGTGCGAGAAGAAATGGGAGACGTTCCTGCGAGCGGCTTGCTGAGCCCCAGGAGCGATATTTCGACTGATTTATAAAGAGGATAAATGGAAACGTTCCAGGGTTGTTTTTTTTTTTTTTTTTTTAAACGATCCTCAAAGAAAACGCAAGATGGAAAAAAGCACAAACAGGAGCTGGAGGACAGAGGAGGGGAGGAACAAGTCAGGCAAGAAGGCACAGCTGTCGGGCCGAACACCGCTTGCCCCTGCGAACTCGGTTTTACTTTGGGACCCGTCTGGGGGTGTCTGGGGGTGTCTGGGGGTGGCGGGGGCGGCTGTTCTGCCTCCACTGCACCCCTCTAACACCATGGGGGGGCACCTACCTCACCCCTGCAGCTCTCCCGCCGCCTCACCCCTGCCTGCGGCCCCCTCCCTTCCCAGGCTCACTAGCTGAACCCGCTCCCTTCGCCCGTCGCCTCCCACAGTTCGGCCCGCCCTCACTCTGTGCCACTCCGTCACAAGCTCGCCTTTTCTGCCCGGTACGCCTCCCGGCCCCCGAACGCCTCCCGAGTCAGGATCTTTCCTCCCCCAGGCACCAGGGACAGCAGCCACCTGCATCAAGGCGTTCTGTCTAAGCGGGTGGCACCAGGTCCCCAGTCAAGGAGATGGCCTCGGGAAAATTTCGCAGAGGAGGGAACGAGCTCCGGAGCCCCACACGCTGCCCCGGACCCAGCAGATGTGCTGCTGGTGTCGGCAGAGGCCGGGCGCCCAGGTTCAACAGCAGTTCACCCCTCACCGAGCCCAGATGCCAACCGACACGCACAGCCTCCAGGAGACCACCCACCTCGCCCCGTAGCGAGTCTTCCACCTTCTTTCCTGACACAGGGCCACCCTCTCCCAAGGGAGCAGAGTCACCACAGCCCCCCAAGCCACGCACCTCCACCCGCAC